CCTTTGGTCTCAGTGTCCGCTCCCATACTCCACCTCCCCTTGAACCTGTGCAGCATAACATGGATGGAAGAACCAAAGCTAGACACATAAGTATGATATACACAGTGCACTTTCAAAACTCTTTGGTGCAAAGCCAGCACTGGGCTGTTGAAAAGCATGATAGAAGGCTGTTACTTACTATATTCCAGCTGCTGTCATAAAAAAAAAAAATCAAGCTACATTAAGTAAATGCTAATAAAATATCACATTCCTTCCTTCAGTAATAAATTAAACAGTTTGTGAAAATATTACAGAATTAAAAATATTTGGGAGGATCTGGTTTTTCATAAAACAGCTGGACCTGCAAGTTTTGCAATGCACAGCACCATCTCCACATCTTTTAAAGCAGAGCATAGTGCTCAATACCCAGTTGGCTGTTTTCACCCTTGCTCATTTCTCACCACAGAAGACTACTGGATGGATAATCTCAAGAAGAAGAGAAATAGAAAGTAGAAGCGTAATACATTTGATAGAAGTAGAAATTAATAGCTAGGAGATCAGTGATCTAATGCATATTCATAGAAAGAGATTCCCTTCATATATTTCAGGTATCTGCACTAGTTTCTGTGCTGATCCAGTGCTGTGGTATTAGATATCCCAAATGCATGAAATCCTGTTTTCTTCTCCCTTTGAAGTTGTGCTATGACTTCAAGGGGAAAAGGAAAAGGCTGGTAGAGCTTTAGAAAGGCTTACTGCAAGATCTGTAAAATTAGTAATTATTAATATTAATTAATAATTACATTTGTAAGCAAAAAACAAAAAAGTACTGAGGTCTCTTGCAGGGGAAATGCTCACTAGAATTCTAGGCTAGGTACAGCATTGGGCTTGTGCTATACATGTAGAGGTTAGGCTAGAAAAGAGATTAAGCAAAGATCTATTAATCCAGAGTCCATCTTCCTGAAAAAACAAGAGCCCAGGCCAAACTGAAATTGATGCCCAGTGACTTCAATGATTAGATCATAGTCTTATGATATGAAGCACATCACATAGTGAACTGAGTTTGGGCCAAGAATAATGAACAGAGATCTCATTAACTGAGATTCTGCAAGTTCTAAATTTCACTAAATCATTTTAATGTGACCTCTCACCACTAAGTGGCAAAAATAATACAGTGAAAGCACTCTGTATTTGCAGTACCAGACATGCCTAGCGTACTCCCTATGAGTCCACAGAGATTATAAAAATACAAGCAAATTTTTTTAATTAGACCTAATTAATTAATTCTTAATCCTTTCCAATTTTTTTCCAATAATAATACTGGTGCTGTCCCTGGAAATTTTTTATCATACACAGGACATAATTATTTTTAAAGCTATGGGAACACACATGCAAACATGTTTTACAAATGCATAGAAAGTAGTGTGGGCAAGGTTATATTTTAATGTGGACTAAATGGAACAAATTTTAATCTTGCAGAATACTTAAGATAACTCTCTGTTCTGTGTAAAAAATAATTTTGGTGTGCTACAATGCTTCAGAGAACGATAGTTTAAAATGTTTGGGCAGTTTATGGTGTTCAGAACAAAATTGTAGAAGAAAATTTGTGCCTATGTCAAAGAACATCTTTGCATTGTTTACCTCTCTCTGCTGTCCTCATTTGCTTTGCTGGTATCCTTCTAGTCTGATCCTTGTAAAGGTAGATCCACCAAGGAGAAATGTCACAGAGTTGGAGAATCCTTTTAACAGGAAGGATGATCATGGAAAGATTTAACAGGAAAATAGAGTACATCATTCCAGTGGTGATGAATAAAGTGAGAGTAAATTTATGTAAATAGAGTCCAAGTAAGAAAATTTATAACTTCTGTCTCTGGAAGCTGCATGAGGAATGAGCTGTAGGACTGAATTATGATCTAGCTCAGCATTAACCACCTGGTGTGATAGGAAAAGGAACTAGTTATGCAAAACTGTGTCAAATTCAGTCTGCTTTTAACCACATTTTATCAAGACATCTTTTACTTAGGGATATTACTTCTGGCCTATCAGGCATTCTCACAGACTAGAAATTTTGCTACATTTCAGAGAGAAGCTGCATCAGTGATGACTGGGTGAGACTAAACTCAGCAATAGCAGCAATAATAACAACAAATACCATACTCCACAATCTCAAAGACTACCTGTTCAAAGATTAACTAATTTCTTAGACCAGGAAAAACACCATGCTACTCTTTCTGCAGGATGTAATTTTGTTTTAAGCATGTTGATCACTCTTACATAGAATTTTTTTAGGACACCAACAATTTCATTCTCTACAGCAAAAGAGAAACTGGATTTCAATCATTGGTTCCTTCCTCTTAGGTGACAAAGACCTGTGAAGCTAAATTTAAGCATTTCCTTCTTTATTTCCAAATAACTGAATTTTTAGTCTTTCATTTTTAATTTAATTATTTGGGAAAACCAGTAAATTTTGGTTTTGTCAGAATTTTCTTGCTAATGAACAGTATACTGAGCCACTGAGTAAATGCAGAACATCTACAGAAATCAGGAATAGCTTTTCAGCTCTTCTCCTTGAAGCTGTCATCTCCACAATGACTTCAGGGGAAGAGACCAATTCTCCTTGCAGGGTACTGCTGGAGGACAATATTTTGTGTTTGGTGTGTCAGGTGGCAAGTGAACTGTGATGATCCAGGGAGCTTATTTCAGACTCCTCCTTACACTGCTACCCTCTGTAAAATTTCTGCTGGTTCCTGTAACCACAATCGTATTCCACAAACACTTTGAGAAACTCTAGACCAGCTCTGCCAGGAAATTTATGATGTGCCTTATACAAAATGAATCTTTTCATGTTTGGAACAGTCTACTTCAGTCGTCAAAATCAGAAGAGTTTGGAAATCAAAGAGAACAGCAGAACCACAAGCAATTATCTTGGCTCTTTCATTAACTGAAACTGCTGAGTTAACTAACAATTAGGGCTTTATCCTCTGTAGTAAAATGAGCAGATTGTCAGGTTTCCTGTGAAATTTCTGCTCTTTTATGAAACTATACCCATGAGATGGGTAGCAGTGCTTTTTGGCTGGCGTGTTCTGGGCACCTGCATGACCTTCTGCCCACACTGCATGCGGAGCAGGGAGGACAGGCACACACTGACCAGCCAGGGCCCTAAGCCAAAACCAAATCCCTCCCTGGCACACAGAGACCAGCCCAAGTTAAGGAGACTGTCAGTGGGAAGATACCTGAGATCTTTATCTCCTCTAGAAGTCGCCAAGATTCAGAGAAGAGAAAGATGCCTGTGGAATGGAATATCCTCTCTGTATCTTGGCATGTGTCAATCTATAATTTATTTTTCACCTGCCCATTCAGAATGTAGTGACTGCGAACAAGAGGGGAAGGTCACTTTTTCATTTACAGCACATCAGGCTCACACACCAGGTCTGGTAGAATTTCACCACAAAATACTTGCATTATCAGCATGGCAGCATATGAAAACAAAACACTTTCATGCATGTTTAAAGAATTGTCTTTTGTTCATTGCAATTGACTGACTTTTGTGCACGTAAATTATGTATACGGTCATAGGCATTAAAATTTGATTATATGATTCAAACTCAGTTCCTTGAAATCGGTGCAGCCACTGATACTCGCAAAAGAAATAAAAATGTTCTTTCTCCTATGAGGAAAAACACCCACGACCAAAACAAATACGTGTATTTTACATTTACATGGGTATCTGACATTTGAACAAACAACCCAGAGAAGTGGCAGTCATAATAGTGATACAGATAATTGCATCATATTCACAATAAGGATGTTACTTGGAAACAATTCAGGTTTTTGAAAAAAAGCATATGGCATTTATGATCTCATTAGTCATAAATTTATGTCAAGCCTTTGATTCAGCATTGAAAAAGCCATATGTTCAAATTTGTCTCTTGCACATCCTCTGATAATCAACACGGATATTCACAGTAATAACATCAAGATTTAAATACATCAAATGTCATAAAAAACTGTAAAATCTGAATTATTATCCTATCTCTGTAACAAAAACATCTGAACTTCATACATTTACAAAGGAACCGATATCCACATAGAAGAAATTGATTGTATTTTCTTATAAATTTATTAAATATTTTTTTCTGTATCAAATTATGGTACTTCTTAATTAGCATCTGTTTCCATGGTCTTTGAAATATCCATGTATAAAGTTTAGTTCATATGTTTGTTTTGTATGTTGCTTCTGAGCTCCTTTTTTTCCAGTTTGAAAGAGGAACTACGTTTATGTATATAAGAAGAAATATCACCATATGATTAACAGGTGTGCCTGCAATTTTTTGCATTGACATCTGTCAGATTAGGGGGTTAAAACAAATACATATAATAACAGTAAGTATGATATTGTAAACATTACTGAATAACTTCATTCCTGCCACCACATCGCAAAATGAATAACTTCATTCCTGCCACCACATCGCAAAATTGATTGAAGAATCAAGGTATTTTCTTTTAATAAAATCCTCAGGGAGTTGAAGTATTTAATCAGGAGAGTTTTAGATACTTTGCTTGAGTTTTGTGCCCTCTGTAAATCCTCAGCTAACATGGCAGCCTCTCCTCAGCATACTCCCTTGCCCAGCCATGTACCTCTGCCTGCTCCCCAAGGATGTTGATCAGCTTCCACTCTGCAAATCAGAACCGCCAGTTTTTTGTTGCTAATCAAATACACATTTTCTTATGATGGCAGTTGTTCTGATGGACCTCAAAAGAGCTCAGGTTGTTCTTAGGCCACAGTTTGGAAAGCCACTGATGGAAAATTCCCTGAGGGCTTTAATTTTCAAGGCAAACTGCTCATGTAGAGGTGCAATCAGGGAGCAATTGACAGCATGCATGTGCATTGTATCTGCAAGCACCCCACAGCAAACCACACCACCCAGACATCATTTCCATGGCTCTTTCAGAGCGTTGCCTGTCTATTTGTGACATTACCTATCTGTTGGGAACTTGAACTCCCTGTACCAACAGAGCTGACAGTGAGACAGAGGATCACAGTCAAACTCACAGGTACTTGTTATTCTTAGTCAACTTCAACAACACTAGACTTTCTGTTATAAACCTGGGCACAAAGTTCAGACTGTGCCCAAAAAAAGTTCCGGCAGGTGAAACAGCCATGGTCTGGGGGAATCTGCCTTGCCAGTAAATTACTATATGACACATCTTTCTCGTAGAAACAATTTTCACAATAAAAATGGGCCCAAATTCTGTCCAGATTTGGGCTGAAAAGTCTGCTGGTCATCATTTGGTCAGCAGGTCAGGGAATGCTTTGGGACAATCTGTTCTGTTTCTCCTTTTTAAAGCAGATTGTCTGCAGTGAGACACAGATGTTTACAGGCTGTCATACCATGAACTGAGTCTCCTATCAAATTACAGCCCTTAGTCCACAGAGTGAGTGTGCCACTTCAGTTACATCTCAGTGTGTTTTCCATGAAAACTGTGGTATTTAAATTTGGGTCCACCCTGAGGATCCTAACGGGACATAATTAAAAGGGTTGTGTCTAGGCCAGGGTCCCACCACCATGAGCAGGCTGCAGCCTTTCAGTGTTTCCAGGAATCTCTTTGATGTGATTTGCACTCACAGAGGCGCATAGTGTGAGTGCAGAGGTTCAGACCATCTGCAATGTTTGTGTGAGTGGGCACATGGATAAAAAGTCTCTTTGTTTCCTGCCCTCATCTGCTCCCACACTCAGCTTTCAAATGTGGGTGCTGGATTCTGATGGCACTTTTCAGCACCTACAGTGACGTGACTGATGCACTTTAAGATTAAACTGTGTAGCCTGTTTTCCAGACTGAGATATTTTGTGTAGAGCCTCATGTTTAAAAATTCATCAGATGTTAAAAGTTCAAAGTGGCTTCAAATTATCTACATCTTGAGGAGTCTGTAAGTGAGCACGTTAGAGTTTCATTTCTTCCTATGCCACAACCAATGAAACCTTCTTGTTAAAGTTTCCTTATCAAGAAAAAAGGCAATAACAACTTAATCATCCACTGTATCAAATGTGCCATGTACAGCATCATGGTGCTGAGCAGTCTGAAGCCATTATTTTGTTATGATGCTGTTTTTCATTCCAACAATTCCCTCTGCTGCCTCAGGTACCAGGTTTCACCAACAGATCAGAACTTCTTTTATTGGGTGTTAGTAGTGTAGAGTGAATGGTACCTTGTTTTCCTTTCACAGCAAGGTCAGGGAGTGCATATCTTCCCATCAGATTAAGAATTAACTTCTAAGGCACCCAACGCTCAAAGGAAAAAATATATTAGTGCAAAAATCATAAAGGTCATTGTCTTCACTCTCCAACTTCCAAATGTTTACTCTTGATAATTTCTCCATCACCAGAATTTCAAAATTTATATCCTTCCCTGGTCTTAAAGACACAAGTGGGGGCAAAAAGACAGCCTATATTGTAGTAAAGCTCTTATTCGATGGCTCTTTCTCTAATTATCAAGTGTTGATAATTAGATTTTAGATTAACTAAATAAGCTACCATTTTTGTCTCATCAGGAGGAAGGGAGGGAGAAGTTGCATCTCTTTAGCTGTACCTTTTTGTTTCATCACAAGACACACATCCTCCCTGTCTCTCAGTGCCAATGACTTCAGGTACTGCTCCACACTCAGAACCTCCTTCAGAGCAGTGCTGCACCACACCCAGCAATGAGTACGGAGGGCAGGGACAGGTGAGTGTAGGAAATTTACAGTTCCAGTTCTCCTGGGTATGAACAGCCCAGAGAAAAAAGTGCAGGGGAGTGTCTGTTCCTGGGGAGCTTATGGATATTTGCCTTGAATGTATTTGGCTTGAACATTGATATCACATGTCACAGCTGCCTAACCTAAGTGAGGTTTGGGCTGTCATTCCTTAGACAGGACACATTTTAAGTCTTTAAACCAGTAACTTTGTCTTTCCATATGTTTCTCATTCAACCTAATGTGCAATTTCCAGTTAAAATAAACTTGGCTTTGAGATAATAGAGAAAGATAATCAAGGCAGCTCACTATCCCACATCAAATTCCTCCCTTCCTCTGTCTTAACATTCTCTGGCTTGGGTCTGATGCCATTCTAATTGTTCCTGTTGTTAAATACTGTTTTCTTTCGCCATCTCACACTCCTCTTTCCCTAATAAAAAGGTTGTTTTATGTGTTCTCATGTAACCATAGTATTGTTCTGTCACTTCCACCCATGCAAAACAAAAATCCCTTTGCAATGGAAAGAGATGCTGCAGGGAGAAAGCAGAAAAGAAAAGGCAGCAGAAGGTTCCTCAGGGGAAATTCACGAGTTGACCCAAACATAAACCCAGAGGAAGTGCAGACCACCCTTCATGAGTCTCTTGCATCTCAAGGGGCGTGTGCAATATTTCTATTACAGTGGGCTGACATGGGGGACTGTAGAAGCTCTATATATATAGATCTGGGTCATAGTAGCAAGCTCTAGAGAATGGGCAGGACCTTTATATTGCCCAGCCCAATGTTCCTGAGGTGTCCAGCGGCCATTGGTTTGCATGGTGGGGCTGTCCTTCTCCCAGAAGCAAATTTTAGCATTTTTTAAAAGAATAATTAGCAGAAATCCTTTCACTTCAAAAAAAAATTATTTTGACCACACCAAAACCTTAATGATTACTCTCTGGCTGTAAAATAATAATGACAGTGACAATGACATTAACATTAACAATAACAATGACGATGACGATGACAATGACAACGACAATAATAACAATTTAAAAAATGCTAATTAAACACATTTGCAAGGTGAACAAGGGTCATGAAACACTCATGAAAAGGTCACCATGTAAGATGGCTGAGTATAAGGAATTCTGACCTTTAAGGCTGAATGTAGCCCTCTAAATGTGTCTGCTTTTCCTAATCCTGAATACAATATAAACTTCCAATAAATGGGTACTGGCTAAGGAAACAAAGAGATCCCGGGAATGAGAATGCTGCCCTTCTCCCAAAAAACCTCCTGTTATCAAAAGAAGTGAGTGGTTTGGAAGAAAATGTGTCTGTCTTCCCCGAAGGCACTTCAAACAGTAAATGGACACACAAGATCCCATGTTTATTTTCTTTTAAATATATTTTTGAAAATATTGTGTGATCCAAAATATGTGTTTTTCAATTTTTCATGGCCCGGCCGTGAGTGATGTATTTTATCCATATTCATAACAGTGTACAAACTTTCTATTCATAGCTCCTTCTCCACAGCATAAATTTGGGTGGGCATGCTGGAATTTCCTTCTGTGGCATATGGTAATCCTTTACCTGAGGGCTTGCTCCAAATAAATGTTTACATTCCTCTGACAGTTCACTTGAAATGTAAAGGAACAAGGTATGTGAGTCTTCCATTAAATAACTGACTGCATTTACATGTTTGGGGGAGGAAGGCACATAGCGTTCTTACACTGGACTGGCTGCAGGAATGTCCAACCTTGTTTCCTCTCATAAATATTTCATAATAGAAAGGACCTTAAAAATATGCCAATCCAAACTGCGGATTGACCCTTCCAACTCCAGGCACCATAGCTAGGAGGGACTGAAATAAACACCACAAGTAAGCAGTGCCTGCAATGGGCAGTCATCTGTGGAAACCACAGCCTCCTATTTGGTCTTGGGGACCATCGTTTCATGGATGGGAGGGCTAGCCGAGAGGGAGGGTGGTGGGTGGCGAGGGTCACACATCAAAGGTGCAAAGAAAGGTGGAAATGATCTGAAGAAAAACTTCCTAGTCTGGGATAGGGTTTCATTTTATTTTATGCAGTTCAAGCAAATGATGTTTTTTACTGATGTAGATGAAAGAATGCTCCAGCAGCTAGGGATAAGCCTACTGAAGAAGTAAACAGGAAAAATGTCCACACATGGTGATTATATCCAATTACAGAAGTAAACATGCTAGTGTTTGCTCATTAGAGTACCAGGTCTACTCGAGCTCCTGTGATTCCAGCTAGTCATGTGGGGGGTTTTTAACCTTTTAATCATTATTCATACCACCAGGGCTATTCACTTGGCCACCCTCCTTTAAGCTACTACCAGACTGAGGCTGGCAGGTTACCAACACATCCCCAAGAGAAAGAGCAGCACAGGAAGTCAGGAGTTTGTTATTCCACAGGAATCCAAACCCACAGCTTTCTCTGGTCACTCCTGCCCACCTTCCCTGGCAATTGAGTTCTAATAAGATATCCTTCATCTGCCTTTGATATCCTTTACTGAGGGGACATGATGTTTAACCCCAGCAGGAAGGTAAAATATAGAGGCTCTTTCTCTGTTGCTCACATTCCTGCACAGTGAAAAATGTCACTTTTCCCAGTTGCAAGTCCTCTGTTTCCCATAAGTGCTCATTGAGAGGCCCACATATTTGTTATTCCTCCCAATTGCTATCAAGATCACTCTTATGCCTCTCTAAAAGGACACAAGGAGCTTGGACAAACTGAGTAGAAATAAAATTAGTATTGGTCTAGGCTGACAACACCCCTCAAAAGCTGAGAAGTGCCTGAGTGGCATCTTGTCCAGGACACTTAAAGGCTGACATGTACCCAACAGCTTTTCTTTAAATGACAAAAAGCTTCATGGATGTTACATTATTTACACTGGCATAAAACTAGGGGAAGCAAATGGACCCTAATAGCTACAGTAAATGATAATTATCAGAATAATAAATCCCAGCCTCTTCTCTGAGGAACAATATTTCCTCTGCAACCTTTAATTAAGCTGGGATCTGAGCCTTTTGTGGGTGAATTTCCTGTAGAGTGGCCAATTTACAGAGTGGATACCAGCTCTCATATATGTAAAATAACTCATCTCAGTGTGGCAGAAGAAGTCAAAGATACAGCCAGGAGTGGAAACAAACCAGACCATAATATGAAAAGTCAAAGATACAGCCAGGAGTGGAAACAAACCAGACCATAATATGAAAGTGCACAATTCCTGCTAGGGTCCAATAGGACATTTATTCAATCCTGGATTTTACTCTTACCTACACTGGTACTCTCCCATAGCCGCTCATGCATATCGGTCCAGCCTTTAGACCAAAGCCTCCCAGACTACCGTCACATGATGTCCCCAGGGTTGGCAGGCTGAAATTAACCCTTTTTTTTTTAATGATGGACATACAAATATTGACATCTTAAGATTTCAGCTGTGTTTTTCAGTGGGATTTCTTTGTATTTGGAGACGTTCCAAATGTGTTTAGCTGGTGAGCTCTAAAACCCATCCACAGCCCTTTACCAAACAGGTTCAGAAAATCATTTCAAAGAATAACCCTTGTATATCTACAGCCTGCCTGCATCACCATTAAGTCCCATTAATGGTGATGGGACTTCACCACTGGGCTTCCATGTAACCCTTGTATGGCAGAAGCCAAAGGAAGGGGCTGACGTTCTGCTCTCAGGAACAATATCCACTCCAGGGACTCTGCATTTAAATGAAAAATTGTCACTGTGCAGTAACACCTTGTCACACAAGCCCCATCCTTAAAAGAGGCCCACCCCCCAGACACACAAGGGAAGCTAAGTAGTCTTGTATGGCAAAACTGAATCATAGATTACAAATTGCAAAACAGCAATCAGATAATCTAGGTCAGATTAAAGATGGGAAAATAAGGACTTTAAACAACCTATGTAGGCTTTGAAATTAGATTTCTACTGTCACATTCTGAAGGCAACAAAATCTGTTTGTAAAGTGCTCCAAAGCAGCTCTTTGGATCCAAGTATTTAATACGGATTGAGGACAGACTGTTTAAAGTCTTTGAAAAAATGGAATTTTCTTTTCATTCTTCTTTACCGGACTGGAAAGTTACTTCACAGCTTTTAAATATTTGCAAATTCATCCAGGTTTGAAAAAAAAAAAAGCCCACCCAAAAGACTGTGTGAGATGTATAAAACCACAGATTCCTTGAGGCTTGTTTATTTTCAAGTTAAGAAAATGAAACATTTGATGGCTATGAGAAAAAGGGCAATGTATTTTGTGCTGGTTACCTCAAATACAGCTTCCCATTGTCTGAAGAATAATTTTCTGTCAAGAAAATGTTTTAACTGTGCTTTGGGGAGTAATGAACTTTTTACTGTTCAATAAAGTTCTGCTCATCACTATCAACTCAGTTGCAGACTGTGAACCACTTCCATTTGCTAATCTGCTGGGGTTGATAGCTTTCTGTGGAGCCAGCAAACTCTCTCACAGGTACCTCTGCAGGCATCTCACAAAAAACCCACAACATCTGCAAATCAAAACACAATGGTTAGAGTAAATACTCTAGAAACATCACTGTTTTGATATATTTCATCTTTTACTATATACATATACACACATACCAAATTTTACCTGCATTCATATACTTTGGAAATTATTGCTAGGAGCACATGACTACTTTGGTGTATAATTCCCAGTGACTCACTCTGTCTGTGCTGGGAAAAGACAAAGCAGTCCACAAAGGACTGAGTGCCTGCATGTCAGATTATTAGTTGTGCATAGGCTGACATCTGTGCAGTACCAGGTTCTCTGTATTAGTGGTGTTTGTCCTCATCAACATCATTCCACTATCACTTGTGCTTTTTTTTCTAGACTCCCCCAGTCAGATGCTGTTGGTAAATATAAGGAAAAAAAGAAAAAAAAGCACAAGAATGTTGTATTTTTATGCACTTTGATGTTTTAAAATCTGTCCAAGATACAGCTCATAAGCATAATTTAAAAACTATCCAGTTACAAAACACCCTAACCCACATTTTTCATTATGAATGAGATTTTGAGTGGTGTTTTGGACCCTGAATGGGAGATTCACCCACAGAAGTAAAGCTGCACATTATACAATCTCATAAATTTTGAGATTTCAGTTAATGGGACCTCAAAACACACAATGCTTCAGAAGTGGGGAAGTTAGTGATATGTTCCTTTAAAGAAGTCACATTAGTATCAGAAGTCAGTGCATTGCAGAAACAAGAAAAGAATAAGGTTAGCAAGAATATCCAATTAATTATTGCTGCTGTACATTTTATTTTATAGAAAGTGTGTAAGGAAAATAAAATTTCAAACAACCCATGTGTTTGTATAGTAATGTCTTGAACTACATCTGTTAAAGCACTTGGTTTCTGGATAGATTACAGCCAGCCTTCACCAACCTCTTATGCATGGGTGAATGCAGAAGGCCAAGTTCAGAAAATGCGTTTTTGCTGCCCACTTTTTTCTGTGTCTTTCCAGGGCATTGTTCTGAATCACAGGGCACTGCATCAGTAGTGCCGGTATCAGCTCCTACAGCATCTATCTGTCTCCTCAGGGATGTGCCTGTGTTACAACTGACCAGGAAATGGAGAAGCACCTTAATAAAAAAGGAACAGAAACTAATCCATATTGCAGTCTGCTTCAAATAAGTCCTTCAAACCTCTTCATGCCTGTTGGACATGGGCAAGACCAGGCACTCACTCTGCCAGGCAGCTTTCTTGCAGATATACACAGCAGAAAAAGTCTTGTCAGCTATTCCTAAATGCATTTATCTTTCTTTGAGCTGGAGGTCTGAGGTCAGGGATAATTAAAATATCGTAGTATGTCCCATTATGCACTCTTCTTTTTAGAGGCTTGTTGTCTGTGACACTCTCCTCTCTGGCATCAGCAAGTGAAAGAATAATTCATCCTTTGTGTCCTGTATTATTTTTTACCTCACAAAGATGCAGAAGCTCTTTTCAGGAGACACTGGGTCATCTGAAGAATCATGTCCACAGCCTCCAGTAGACCACCTCCAAGAAGACATCCTCTCGAGATTCAGCCAGTTCTCTTGTTCCACAGTCTGAATTGCCTCTTTCATGGGGACAAGGGTTAATATCAGCCCTGAATGCTGCTTTTCAAAGACAGCCTTGTCATTACTCATTTTAAAGTAAACAACGCTTGCACTGCACAGTAGAATGAGCTAGGTGTTTCTTTTTCTATCTACAAATTGGTGGGGTTTTTTCTCTGTTTTCTGGCTTCCTTATTTTCTATGAATAAAGGTCAGTAAAATATGAAAAAAAAATTATTTATTGCTGTACAGCTTTGTTGCAAAACCAGTTTTCAACATTAAATCACACAATGACCTTATCACCACTCCTTTTAATTAGACTACTATTTGGACACAGTTAGGCCTCTGTCTTGAATACCTTGAGGACATGATGAGACATAATCTGACCACAAATTTGTTTCACTGGATTATGCTTGAAGGTTTATCATTTTCTTCCTGTTCCCTCAAATTTCTGTTTTATTTTCCAATTTGTCTCAATTTATTTCCAATTTTCAATTTTTCCAAGTTCTGTCCTTGCCTCCCTCCTCAATGATTTTTTTCAAAATTCTTCTTTCATGCATTTTTTCCTCAACCAAGATATCTCAGCAAAGTCCTGTTCTTTCATAGGAAGCCAAGAAATGACAGTGATGGCATAACTCTAATAGCCAATTTAAACAGTGAGGAGTTTAAATGGCTCATAGATCCTTTTCATAGTTCATCCAGACCCATTCTATGAGCTTCTGCAGGCATCATTACTGGTGGTATTAATGATCTCATCTCCTCTGACGTAGAAAGCACAACAGCTAGTGGTCAAGGTGGCTGGGAGTAAGGAATGTACTGTATTTTTTAAACAGAAGAAGACCAAATGACCACACAGCCACTGCTGCTAGTTTAGACGGGAAAAAAGAGAAAAATGCACTTTTTCTTTTTCTTGAGTTTCCAAACTATCTTAGGAAATGTGCTATTACTATATGTGTTATTTTTAGGAGATCCAAAATATCCTTGTTCCTTGTGATACTTTTCAGTGTGAATTCAAAGTAAGTGATAGGAACTATGTGACAATGGTCCATGGTCTGAAAAATCTGTTTTATTCCCAGGCAGCCATCTCTGTTTGAGGTGCTGTTATTCTGCAAAGTGTTAGAAGGACCATCAGAGCACATATTCTGTTTGCCTTCTTCATATAGGTCCATACTTCTACCAAGACGAACCAATGGTATGTTTGACTCATGTCATGCAAAAGAGGGTGAGTGAGAATACATTTAAACATTGTATTACACTGAGTTACCATAATAATCTCTCAGGTCGAATTTGAAGAAGCAATGCATGTCAGATCTGGATCACGGGGAGAAAAAAAAAAAAAGCTGATATAAAACACAGGAAAAGCAATTCTCCAGGCCCTGTGTTTTCCATGCAGAGATTCATTTCTTGGTGGCAAAGGAGCTTTTGAGCCCTTCAATTGACTAACTGTTGTAGTATTTGTCGTTGTGGCTCTTGCTTGTTTTGCGAAAGGAAATGCTTTCGCAGGGAGCGCACACACAGCCTGGCACAAACCGGTGTGTGCCCACATTCCTGACAATGATGGTTTACTTAGCTGTGCAGAGGGAGGCTGTTTTCAGCTGGCTGGCTAGAGTGCCCATTTTTTCCTGAAAAAGGGGAAACACAGTAATACCATGAAGAATCGTGGACTTGAGCTGTCTGATTTCACCACCAGATCTAAATTCTTCCAAAACAAAATACCTCAAGTCTTCCAGTGGGCAACAAGGTGTGTGTTTGTACACTGCTGTGGCAGGCTGTGGAGTGTTTTTTTTATGGGGACTTTTGGCTAGCTCAGTGTTACAAACCAGACACAGAGGCCTTAGGTAACAATTGGTGTCCTGGATGTTAATGTAGAATAATTGTTTTTTCTCCAAAAACTCTGCTTTACACTGCATAAGGGCTTTGTACTTAATTCATTTAACACTTAAAGGATTGGAAGAGGGTATTTGCAGGTCATTTTAGGGAATGAGATGGCTATGAGGTGCAGCAGGCTGAGATGGCTCACCTGGAGGGAACAGTATGGGTAAGGTTTGTAAGATGATGAAGGAAGTGGAGAAGGTGAGGGAAAAGGTGTTCACCCAAATTTTCCACTACTAGAACAGGACTCAGTTTTAAACAGGTAAAATTCACTTTGCAGAGGAGGCAGTGCACTTCTGAAACAGGCTGCCACAGGAGTCACACTGAGGTATCAGAGCAAGCCTCTGGTTCAAAACAGGATTAGACAAAATTCAGGGCAAATTAGGTCCAAAATAGACACCATAGGGAATGGGAAAGGAGAAATCTTCCTTGAGGTGCCACCAATCTAATAGATATTTTTGTGCATTTTTTAATCTAGAAAAGTTAATCTCTCCATGATGGCATCTGCAGAGCAAATCATAGGGATTCTGTCTCCTCCTGGTTGATCTCTAGTGAGATCAAAGACGCTGCTTCATTTAGGCTAAGTTAGCTTCAGTTAAAACCTCTCAGATAAAGAAAATTTAACTTAATAAGTCCATGACAAAACCAAAAATGGCATACTGTAGAAAAAAAAAGAAACCAGGACTATGAGCTATTTTTGGAGTAGAATAAATGCTCATAACCCAAAACTCTCAGTGTCAAATTTTTCTCCCACATGACAACCATCTGCTGACACAGAGTTCGGACACAGTGGCCCAGCTACCTCTTTGTCCTGTTGTGGCAATTGGATTTGAGAAAATGACACAATTTAGGCAAAAATGGTCAGTATCTTGAGCCAGGTGCTGTGTACTTTTGCCTGCTGGGAAACAGCACTGTTAGCCCTGCTTTAGTTAGTGAATAGGAACTAAGTGGATTTTATTTTTTACATCAGTTTCAGGAATGACATTATAGCCTTTGACTCAGAAATTACGTCCAATATTCATTTTGATACAGTTCTTTGAATTTATTGGGACTGACTCCCTTCAGTGGGCAGTCATTGTTTTCCTCACTGAGCCCACGCCATAAATTATTTTGGTGTATTGCCTTTTGGTTTATCTTTACTTACAGTAACCCCAAATTCCTTGATGAATGGCAATCCATGTGTAAGCTGACTGGAAGATAACCTCTTACTGGAAAGTGTACCATACATAGCTATGACTCAGTCTGAACAACAACAGAAACTGCCTCGGTGTTTTGATTTGTCAGCTCCACTCCATGCTAAACCATCTTGATAATCCAGGGCAATAACACAGAATGCCTGATCTCAAGGTTTCTTTGTACCCTCTTTTGCACCAGAACAGCCAAGTTGCCCCCATTGAAGATTACATTAGGTGGAAGAGAATGATAGAAAACAGATTTACCCCTGGACACTCTTCTGCCTGCTGATTCCATGAGAGATCAAATCTTCACTCTCTCCTTCTGTAGAACCCGATGTTTTGGGCCTCACCTCCTTCCTGGGAAAGATATTTCATTTTGAATGATGCTTTCTGTATTTATTTCAATCTTATTCTTCCCAAGCTTCAGTGTGCAAAGTAGCCTGTTGACTTTCTGCTTCATGCCTTGCTCTGAACTCCAGATTAGCACAGCTTTCTTGCACGTGCTGGGATTTATTGATACAATGCATTTCACCAAGTTTACATTTCCAAGAACTTTGCCTCACAAGCTAAGGGGGACTGTAGGAAGAAACTGCACATGAAATGAAAAACATTCTGTTGACTACAGTAGGTATAAATTGAGGTTTGATTGAAACTCATCACAAAAAGTCATCCGGAAAAGATTCAGAAGTAAAATTAGTCATTGGCTTGGTATAGCTGTCTGCACTAAGTTCTCCTCGTATTTCCCAACAATGCACACAGTTTAAAAATAATAGTCATTGGAAACCAAGAGAAATATGACAGATACTGACTTGGTTGAAGTGTAAATGAAACAGCGTAAAAATTTAAAAAATACCTCAAAGATAAACACATCTGTTTGTCTGGTAGTCACCTCTCACTTTACAGCAACCCTCTTCTTTTCTCTTTGCTTTACCGTCCCAAATGGAATCCTGGCTTGCTTTCATTTAATTTTATTTAATTTAATACAAACCATTTATTTAATGGCTTTTCTTTACTTAATTTTTAGAAATCTAAATTAACCAGTGTTAGCATATTCATCAGTCTGCATTAATATTGACTGCAGGAATTCCTTGGGCCTTATAAACAATTTTGTTGCCAGGATATAGGGGTTCTTGACAACAGTCAAGACTCAATTATCAATTGCACATAGGCTGTGGACATGCCCTCTCTTGGCTGTGGCTGCCCCAGCTGAACAGGTCACTGAAGCAACACCTCAGCCCCATGTGCTCATCAGCTTCTCTCCGTGGCCCCTATCCAACATCCATCCAAAAAAAGAGACAAGGTTAAGAATTTAGAGATGACCGCCCCTGTTATTTTGACTGAAACAAGTTATGGGAAGTCACATGTAGAGCCTGGCCAGCAGTTCAGAGGGGCTGGTAACTTCCAGTAGCAGAGTGGGGAGGAGGCTGTGGCACTCATCTTTTTGTTGGCACAGCTGCAGCTGGAACAGGGCATGCATCCATAGCCTTGCGCAAACACCAGCTGCAAGGGAGGAGACAGAGCCAGAA